GAGCCGCACCGGCTGTCGGCGTCCATGCAGTGCGTGGTGTCGATCGCGCGGGCGTTGGTTCGGCCCAATAAGCACTACCCGGAGGGGCCGACGCACGTCATACCCCTACTGTTGAACTCGTTGGACGGGCTGGACGTAAACGACATGAAGAAGTGTATGGTTACCTTCCAGTTCATCGCCACGTTTGTCACACTCGTACCACTGATCGACTGTTCCCGCGCTGTGGACGTACGCCAAGACCTGTCCGACACGGAGGCGCAGCTGTGTCTGGCGACCGCTCAGTTCGAGGACTTTGTGCTCCAATTCATGGACAGGTGTTTCGTGTTGATCGAGAACTCGTCGCTCGAACAGACCAGTCGTTTGGATCAGGAGACCGATCGGCTCAACACCGAAGAGGGTATCATTGAAGTGGGTTTGGCGTCCACTTTCGGAAGCATTCTTCTGCAGTCGTCGCCGCAGATATTCAGCGTATGTATCGCGCCATCGATGGCGAGGACACCCGTGTCTTGAATTAGTGGAACTAATAGTCGATTATTGTACCCATTCTTAGGCCGCTTTAGACAAACTCTACGGTTTTGTTTCGAGCCATATATTCGAGACAAAAGTTGCCGGAAAATTCTCGGCCATTTTGGTCCGTTCCTGCTCTAAGGTATGGCCCGTTAAGTGTGTAGTCATCACCCGAACTGATCCACTAATCGCTTCCCTCTGATCTCACACTTCAGGCCAACGCCGAGCTATCGTTGCAGAAGTTTTTGCCACACTTTTGCAAATTAGTTTTGACGCTAACCGAGAGCGACGACATCCTCAACGAGGAGTTCTTAGACCACGAACTGCTGTTTAGTTTGCAGATCGTATCGGAGCTGATCCGCTGCGACGGCAAGCATTTGGTGAAGTACTCGGATCTGTTGTTGAAGGTGATCGACCGGACGCTGCACCTGAAGTGCCGTAAGGGCTACCTGTTATCGTCGGCCATTCTGCGCCATGTGCTCAAGTCGTTGACCCTGTTATGTGCGCTCGACTTTCGCAGTGTCACCAAATCGTGGGACAAGTACTCCAACTTTGAGACCGATTTGCCCATTAGAGTGAGTTCGGGAAATGTGGTATCAATTGATCCATTGAGTGATAATGTCTTGTGTGTGTGTGTCTGTGGTTAGGACTGGGGCTGTACTGTAGACATCCATCACCTGAACGTCGATTGGCACGACGCCAGCGAACAGGAACTGGCGTTCGCGCAGCGACTACTCGACCGCTTCTTAGCCACGGAATTGTCTGATTTGCAGAATTGGATTAAAGGCGAGAAGAAGTTGAGTCGCGAAGAACTGCAGCGAAGTTTGCTAATCATCTGCGACTGCATTACCGGCGCCGCCTCTGCCCTTCCCCTCTGGAGCGGCGATAATATTGTTCTGTATGTCATAATCGCAGGCAAAGTGTTGGAACTGTTGTGTTGACATTTTGTTTGTCTCTTAACGTTAGGTACGAGTCGTTGGTGTCCAACACCACATCGATTGTCAGTTCAGTGGGCGCTAAAGTCGTCAACTTTGCCAACGGCGCGAATATCCGCGAAACGGTACTCAAGACACTGCGCGCGACGTTAGTGCACGTGTTGGCCACCTGTGAGGACGACACCAAATCCCTGTGCCGTCTCATAAAGGTTTGACAATCAGTTGTATCCATGGATTCATATCTGACGCCATCGTTTGCACCGAACGCACAGATCTATAACAACGCGATGTTCTTCTGGGGCGTCACTAAACACGACTTCGACACGCGATGGAAGGGCTTCCATGTGGTGAAGAAGTCACTGGAGAACAAGTTGACCAAAAAGAAGCAACACATCCGGGCGCTGATGGTCGACCGCCTGGTGCTCCAGCACGAGGTCTGTGAGCGCAGACATTGAGTTGTCATTAAAAAAATCTCGATTTAAACACAAAAACTATACTAAACCTCAAACCCTTTGCCATTGATTTTTTACCGGAAACTATAGATGCGTTTAATGAACAAATCGTTGACGAAGTTCACGGATCTCCACAAACAGGTGATCGTGGATTTGATGCAATTGGCGACCAGTCACTACTCGGAGGTGAGGTGTCAGTCGCAGGACACGCTGTTCAACTGTTTCCGGTCGTTCCCCTACTCGTATCGCCTCTGTCTACCCGATCTGCTCGCAAACATAGCCAAAGAACAGCCCGAAAATCACGAACAATTCAAGGGCTCGCTGTATGTGATACTCGGCCGCCGCGGGAGCTCACTGTTGACGTCACACGACTGGTCAACACTGAACGCTTTATGGCCGGCCCTGGTCGACGCCAAGCACTCGGAGAAGCCGAGTATTATACGCTTATTAGACTTGGAGATCACGGGCTATGTCCGCAAGTACTTCGACACATTGGCGCTGAGTGTGGACATACCGGACCAGTGCGTGGCCGCAGCCAAACGGGTCTGGACTAACAACAAGAGTCTCCCGAAACCGGCGTTTGATTGCCCGACGGATACGGAGATACGAAACGCTTTAATCATCGCTCAAAAGCGCAACCAAACAAACACCGATCTGTACACCGATTTGGTCGAGAAGTTGGTGTCACTGATGAACGGTTCCAACGGATCTAATCTGTAAGTATCTTGAGATTTGTCTCGCAATTTGTGCCGTAAATTACTAATTGTTGACGGCATTTATGGTGTAACTCTCGGGACAGGCATTGGCGATATTATCAGTTGTCAAATGTGATGCTAAGTATGCTTATCAGACACGACATCCCACTGCCGGCCAGTGCTGTCAACCTGTTCACGAAGAACCTGATCCACGACACGCTATACATCCGCAAGATATCGATCGCGTCGTACAGCGCTGTACTCAAGCAGATGAAGCGAAAGCACCCGAAGCGTGAGCTAAAGCCCACCCCAGAGGACAACCAATGGCTACAAACGGATGTCTCGCAACTGATCGCCACTGAAGCCGAGTTCCAGGCCATGGACTTCGTGGATAAACCGCACATCGGTTTCTACTGCTTTCCCGAACCACTACTGGTGTACGACAAGACTCGCGACGCATCGAACGCACCGCCGATGACTGAAAGCGAGCTCATTGTCTACAAGCAGTTCGCGGACAAAGACTTTTTGCATCAACTCTTGACGTATCTGTCGCTCGAAGAGAACAAAGGAAAGGATAAGTTCTCGTCGAAGCGGTTCCAGCTCTGGAAGGGTCTGTTCCGCAACTTCGGTGCCTTCAATCTGGACCTATTGGTGCCGAAGATCGCCGCAGCGGTGGACGGCAGCCAAGAGAGCCATCATCGGTGCGCGTCGGAGATCATCGCCGGCTGTGTCCGCGGCTCTAAGCACTGGCCGTTCGACGACTTCAGCCGATTGAGGGCACACTTGGAGCCCATTATCCGCAAAGTGTTCGACAACATCACCACCGAAACGCTGGCCGATTGGGGCACGTGTTCGGCCACTATGTTCGAGAACCGCGACTCCCGGCGCTTGACGTGGATTCTGAGCATCTTTTTGGACGACCCCTTGAAAGCCGGCGCTGAGGTGTTGTCGTCTTTCCTTCAGGCGAGTCGACTGTATTTACTTCACGGCGCTGTCCAACAGCAGGAGTGGCGCTCACAGCGAGTGCTGCACCGACTGCTCGCCTATTTAGAGGACAACCATTTGACGCACTCCTACCAGAACGTGAGGGAACGCATCGGAAGGTCTGTCCCATCGGGAAGTGCTATTTGTTCAGTAAATCTAATTGTTTGTGTGTTTGGATTGCAGTCTATTGTGCAATATATTCATGTTTGACGTCCGCATACCGGCCCTCCCGAAGACGTTCGAGTTGTCGCCCCGGAGGGCGCCGTTCATCGATAAGATCATACCTCGGCTTCAGATTCTCTACAATCAGGTGACAGACAATGAGAGCGCAGACAAGGAGTCGCAGCACCAGAAGAATGACACGAATCTGTTGAACGGATTCACTGCTCAGTCGCCGGAGCGCAAGGACGCGGCCAACCTCTTGAAGACTATCTGCAAATGGATTGTAGGGAACGTCCCCCGCGTGGCCTACAGCGCACCCCCAGAGCTCTTCAAATTCTTGCCAATTGTTTGTGTTTTTTGATTGTTTTGTGTCTTATATTTGTGTCTTAATTGTTGTCTCCATTTCCGGTCTGTAGTTATGTTTAATGCAAAGCGAGACCAGCGATGAGGAGCTGATCCGGGAGTCGTTCTTCGCGATCATTATGTTAAGTCACGCATTGCTCACACCTGAGAGCATACAGACGGCTATAGACACCGCCAAACAGGTATTCCCACAGAATATCCATTGACTTAACCATTACCTCAATCTCGTAACCATTATCTCAATGTCTTAATGACTGATCTGATCTGATCTGATAGGTGACAGTGACTGCCAACTGGCACGCGAGGTCAGCCATCGCCACATTCCTCCAGTATATGGTGTCCAGCAATCTGTTTGTATTGATGGCCAATAATGTCTTAATGACTCTGATCTGATCTGATAGGTGACAGTGACTGCCAACTGGCACGCGAGGTCAGCCATCGCCACATTCCTCCAGTATATGGTGTCCAGCAATCTGTTTGTATTGATGGCCAACGAGTCGTGGGTCGCAGACATCACTCAAATGATTTTGGATCTGTTGAGTGATGAGCGCAACGAAGTCCGTGAGTCGACAGCCGAGACACTCAGCGGTCTATTGCACTGCGAGTTCGTGAAGATTGACCGCAAACTGATCCGACACTTCGAGACAAAGTCTAACCACACACTCAATAAAGTGCGCCAAACGAACGGCGCTGTTATTGTGGACACCAAAGACTTGACGGTCAGACACGCCGGCATACTAGGCCTGTGCGCCTGTATTAACGCCTTTCCCTACGACGTGCCCGACTTTATGCCCGAAATACTGGTGTTTCTGTCGCAACACCTCAACGATCCACAGCCTATCCCAGTAAGTGCTCGGGTTCACCCGTTTTTGCGTTATTTTCAGTACATTATTAGGACTTTTCATTCAATCGATGAATTCTGTGTCGGAATATAGACTCCGATTAAGACATAGCTTTTGATTCAATGAATAGTTTTTGCTTTCGATGTCTACTATAGACTGCGATTAGAAATAACTTTCGCATCAATTAATGTCTGCTTTTTGTGTCCCAAACATAGACTGCAATCAAGAAGACATTGTCTAACTTCCGGCGCACTCACAACGACTGCTGGAGAGACCATAAGCTGAGGTTCAGCGATGACCAGTTGGCGGTCATCACCGACCTCTTAGTGTCGCCTAATTATTACGCATAAGAAATGCTTTTTTGAAAATACATTATATTTTTGTTGATTGAAATCATTGGTTGAGTTTCATTGGTTTCAATGAGAGAACACGATATCATATATAAAGTGATGATTTATTTTATTTAATTATTTGTCTTACTATCCATAAGTTTTTGCGGTTTTTTAAATTAATTGAGCGAAAGTTTTATCGAATTTACAATTTAGATGAGCAAGCACATTTTTAATGGACTGGTTTTTGAGACTAAAATTTTATATTCAAATTTATTGTGATGTATTGAGACATTAATCCAAAAATGTGTATAAATTATACATAAATGTATTGATGAGAACCGAATGCTGTGAACACAGAATATTCTGTAATAAATGAACGAATTTCTTAGGAATAAATAGTTTTTTCGCAAGAATTGCGAGTAAAATGTGTGTGAATTGTGTGGAGAGAGAGAGAGAGAGAGAGAGAATTGCATCGAAAAACTCAATCAAAAGTACCGATGAATGCATTCATTGAATGATCGGTGGACTCGTACTCTGGAAATGGAATTCATAGGAAAACCACTAAACAAGTGGTGATTAATACTCAGAAATCTCTGCTGAGGTCTCACTGTTTGCTCAGTTCATTGCCATCGAGAGTGAAGTCACGGGATGTGGTGATGTCGGCGTCCCATCATATGATCATAAAAATAGTTTTCGTGTGAATAATATCACCGCAAAAAACAGTTCAATACTTTTTCACATAAATTCAACACAACATTAGACCGCACTTTACAAGCGCGCGTACACTACACTGTAGTTTACGGCACAGGTATCCAAAATTAATCACATCTTACAGACTAACCAATAGTAGTGACGATACCAGTGCTCGTAAAATTCAAATACTGTTTTGGATTTACCCATCAATTAGTTTGTTATACGGAAAGGAATTCTAGCTTTTTTTTGTTTGTCATAAAATAAATATTTATGTGTAAAACATGCGATTAGTTTGCGTTCAAAAAACTTCAATAAAATTCACGATAAACGCGGGGAATGTCTACGTATGAGATGTACTGATGGGCAAGTAGTATGCGGTCTGTACAGGTAGGCTATGAGCAAGGTCAGTCATACTACAATGGAAATGACTTAAAATATATACAAAAAAAAGTTTATTTTTACGTCAATTAGTCGATGGCTTACGAGGAGATCGACACACAAATCGTTTTTTAGGGTTTGCTTAGCAATCAAACGCTTCAAATAGTTTCCTTTCATAAGTGAAAGTAATTAATACTTTTGTATAAAACTTTTAACTCAATTATTACTTTCACGAGATATAAACGATTCGCACGAAACACCTGTCCATCAGGTGTCGACTAGTAATACAAACATCACTTATAAAGTTGTTTTGAATCGCATTTTCATTGAAACTTTTTTTAAGTACAGAAAATAAAAACATACATTCAATTAGAAAGTGATTAATTTTGTTAAGTTATCCCCTGTTTACTGGAATAGTTTATGCAAATCGCTCCGGGATTACATGTATTTCCACATCCAATACAAAGTGATGCCATTTATCAGATCGACAATCACTGGGAGATCAGTGGGAAAGTGGTTTTCAGACACGGATTTCGATGGGTTTTTTGAGGCATTAAAAAATATGCAACAAAAAAATATATGACTTCCCCTCACATATACAGATGAGAAACTCGATTCTGTGCTAAAAAACTAATGCATATTCTTGACGACAATTTCTCAATAAGGTTTTGACACAAAATTAACAATTTATGGCATCAGACAAAAACATATCATTAAAACGCCGTTTGTTTGGCAATATATCGATAGACAGTTAAGTCGCGAATAAAAGTATTGCGAAAAATAAGTTTTATTTTTGAAATAAATTCATATTTGTGTTAACTATATGTGGAATTTTGTGTGCAATTTGTGGGAAAATATTAATGCCTTGTATTAACTGATTGATAAAATATGCGAATAAATGTATAAACGATTGCATATTGCGTTAAACACTGGATTTTTTGATTGCATTTAAATAATTCACAATTTGATATTTGCCGAGATTTTCTCAATGTTATACTAAAATGCAAAAACATATTACTTTTGATCATTATCATATACTATACCTAACCACAATTGAATTGGCCTGGGTGGGCATGGTGAACTCCACGTACTGACCCACGGCGCTCAGGGTAACCGCGCGACGTTGACTAGCCTCCGATGAGAAGTTACAGTAATGCCTATTATTGCCGATTATTTCACCAGTGTGGTTTGCGTGCTCAGCTTCCACCTCCACGAATGCTACCTGGGCACCACGCCCTGGTATCTAGTCCACCGCCGTGCTACTGTGCACAAATAGTGCGAGTATAATTAAAATGTTCATGGTTACGTGTCACTATATCACACGCGTTATTGTTTTGGTAATTATTGTAACATGAACAAACCAGCACGCATAGACATTTTAAAATCAATGTTGTTTACGATTATTTATATAGTTTTCGTATAAGTGTATTTGTACCCTTACAAATTATCTAGAAGGATGTTGCTATAATGCACAATAGTAAAAACACATTGATAAGTATTATCTTGGTTTGTTGCTATTTTTAAATTCACAAGTGTTTAGTATACGTGAACTAAATTTTTTATCTAAAATAATTGGTCCACTATACAGTAATGATGCCATTGTATGAAGTAGTTTGGTGTTTGATATTTTGTTCATATCATCGGGGACATCATAGCATTGAATATAGAGTTCTATAATTATTAAATGAGTTGGATAATTCCATGTATCTGAATTGGAATGTATAGTATTCATTCATATATTATACTTATACTGTAATACACAGAGTTATTATACAGAGACTGCTCAGTGAAGCTGCATGGCATACCTGTGCCTGTCAAAATATATATTACACAATAATATCAAGGTCATGAGCATTACACATAGGGCTGCCACCTATTTTCAGAGCCCGGGAGGACAACCAAATATTTATTTATAATTTTGTCTCCTGTACTCATAATAATATAAGAAACTATTGTTTTAATGTTTAAACAATGTCCTCCGAACAATGATTTCACAGTTTATATAAATATTTTATGTTCATATCAAAAGTAGTATTAAATATATTTACAAATTTAATTAAGAATCAAATTAATATTTTTAATTATTTTGGCAATTAATTTTAATTAACTGAGACCCTCGGGAGGACTGTTTTTTGAGGGGCCGATTGGGGGACAATCCTCCAAAAGGAGGACGGGTGGCAGCCCTAATTACACGTCACTTAATATTGATTTTTATGTACCGGTATAAATATTTAAATGGAAAATCTTATTAAACATAAAATATGTTTAAAGAATATACAGCTATGGGCGCCATATTAAAAAACAATTCATAAATAAATCAATGTTTTATTAATTAAACTACTACTAAACCATACCTGTGCTACTTGTAAGTGGAAATGGGTTTTCATGTGAAGTGGGAGTAATTCATATTCAATACCTAATCCCATAAACCTTGAAAAAATATTTTTTATAATAAATAAATAAAATATATAAAATAAATACCAGTATATATTTTTTCATATAAATCCCATTTTCACATAAATTTACAATAAGTAGGATATAGTTTACACTCATAAATAGGAATTCAAATTCTTTATCACATTTAAAATAAATTGCATTTAAATGGAAATTCTTGTTATATTTTACAATAAACTTCTCAAGTATTTTCAATATAACATTTATTTTTAAAAACATTTACTGAGTGTTTACTTTAGAAAATATTTTTGTTTTAAATATGCTTTTGAAAATATTTTATTATTATTTTTATAATTTTATAATGAATTTAAAGTACTGTATTAATCTCTCTCTCTCTCTCGCTCTCTCTCTCTCTCTCTCT